CACACATCAGGGCACCTACAAGAAATAACCGATGAAGGCGTAGATACGTGGAACAGCAAGTCCACGTTTCTCTCTCTCTGTCTTAGAAACAACTAACTACAGACCAGTATCCCTGATGAATAGAGAAAGTGTCATCTGTGACATTTCCCCTGCACCGCTCCAGTCCCAGTCCGTCAACAAGTCCTGACACTTCTTCCTCCCAAATGACCGTCCGGTTCTGTCCATTCCCTCGGCTCCTCCCTGGGCACTGCGACCACCCGGCAGCCCCCTGCCTCCCGATTCCTCCAGGCCATTGCTGTCCACCAGGCGGCAAAGTCACGGTGCAGGTCCCTGTGCTTGGACGTGGGCTTCACTCCACATCGTCAGGGCCCATCTCCTTAGGGATACCGGCTCTGGACACCGACACCCGCCCTCCCCGGCCCAGGCAAAGCCACCACCTCGCCCCCCTTCCAGCCACAGCTACAAAGGACCTAGAGAGGTCTTTCCTGCCTCGCCTCAGCCTAATGGCCCTTTTATCACTGTCACCTGGGTCCTTTACCTTCTGGGATTTAATGCCAACAGGAAACGACATCTCCTACCTGTGTATTTAATAGCGTCTGTTTATTGACCTCATTAATATTGCTGGAAGCACTGCGGAAAAAGCTCAGATTCTACTGGGAAAAAAATAAGTTTAATAATAAAAATTAGATTAACAATGTTGATTAGTTTCTTGTTGGATGGCCATTGAAATATTTATAGCTTATTTAATTATTCATACTTTTAGAAGGCCTTTTTAAAATAATCACCCCTATTTAAAGATTGTAGGGGGCCCTGGCCGGGTAGCTCCATTGGTTGAGTACCTATCGTCCTGACACGTCAAGGTTGTGGGTTCGATCCCCGGTCAGGCCACATACAAGAAATAACCAATGATGCGTAAGTAGGTGGAACAACAAATCCGTGTTTCTCTCTCTCTGTCTCAGAAACAGCAACAACAAAAACCTACAGACCAATACCCCTGATGAATACAGAAGACTTGTAACGAAATATTAGGAAACAACTCAAGAGCATAGTCAAAGGGTCCTACACCATGACCCAGTGGGATTTCTTCCAGGGATGCTAGGATAAGTCAGCGTTACAAATAAAACAAATGTGATCGCCGTAGTAATAAAGAAGTCAAACTCCCAGATGGACAGAGCATGTGTGGGTGAGATGACCAACTTCAGCACACCAGGAGGCCGCCCACTTTACGCCAGGTGAAGGGAGAGGACTTTTCAGCAGCCCTGGGACCCTGACTCGGCCCCCTGCTGTCTCCCGATGGCCCGGAGGGAGGTGCAGGCTGGGGAGGCTGTGGGGCTGAGCAGATTTCCTGCCTCTGAGCAACCTCAGGGGGATGCAGACATGCCAACCGCAGGTGCATGGAACAGCACCCAAAAACGCAACATTGTATCCTCCGGGAAAATGTGTCTGTGGACCGGGTGCTTGGGCCTGATACTGTAGCCAACCTGTAGCCTGTTTTCCTAAATGTGAGTGGGCGCGGCGCCACCTGGTGGACACTATTTTCACTGGCGCTGGCGGAACGCACAGCCCGGCTTCTGAGTTCCGTTGAAACAGGTGCTGGCGGGTGAGCCTGGGCCTTTGGGCTTAATTCATAGGCGGATTCCCGTGAATTTGTTTTCACCTATTTCCTCCACCTCATCTATGAACAGGAGTAATAATGGGACCTCATCCTTATGCTGTTTTGAGGATAAGATTATATTTGTAAAGGGTCAGGCACATCATAAAAGCCACAAAGTTGTTGAAAAATAATTCGTGGACCAGGTCAGGTGGTTCTTTCCATGTGACGTCACTGAGGGCCTGGACCTTCTTTTTGTGCAGCTGGGGCTTGGGGCCGAGACCCGAGCCAGCAGCTGCCTGGGCGTCCCATGGAAATGTCCTCATTTGTTCCCCTCACGTATAATTTGTTAGCCAAACATAGATGTGAATCTTTAGAAGACTGGCAGAAACCTAAGCACTGAATGCGTCGTGCAAGAGAACTTTCCTAGGTCTCCCTTTTCAATCCCGCAAACTAAGTCTGAGCAGTGAGGCGGCCCCAGGTAAGTAAAGGCCGCCCTGCCCAGCTGGTGTGGCTCAGCGGTTGAGAGCCAACCCGTGCACCGATAGGTCGATGGTTTAACTCCGGGTCGGGGCACATGCCCGGGCTGTGGGCTCGATCCACTGGGCATTGGGCAGGAGGCAGCTGATCTATGTTGATGTCTCTCTCATCAATGTTTCGCTCTCTCTCCCTCTCCCTTCCTCTCTCTCTAAGATCAATAAAAACATATTTAAAAGAAAAGACGTCTCATCCATCCCATTCTTCCACCAATGCGCAGTCCGTTCCTTCTGAGGGTCAGCCCAGGGGCCAGGCATGTTACACTGACCACAGGGAACTAACTGCCCAGAATCCCGCCTATCAACACACGGTCCCTTTCTGAAGAAGCTCAAGTTCAACTGGGAGATTTCAAATGCAGCTCAGCAAACGCTCAGAGCCAGACCACCTGGGTGCTGCAGGGCACCGAGGACCCAGAGCTGGGTGAGGGTGGCAGCAGGTGGCAGAGCTGGAGACTTCAGAAGACTTCTTGAAGTCTGGGAGGGAGCAGGAAGCTGTGGGAGTGTCTGAGGCGGAGGAAGAGGCCAGAGCCGCGGGCCTGGGCCCCGCACGCAGGGACAAAGGCCATTCTCAGGTGGTTGTGCAAGACTCATTTACTAGAAATCCCGGAGAGAAACTGTCACACGTGCTCCTTCCTCAGAGACGGGTCCTTAGTCACATCTCATGGAGAAAACCGGGCTGCCGCTTCCTTCCCCGTTTCCCGCAGTGCCAGGGGGACGTCACAGGCCATCGCCCTGCCGGGAGCCCGAGGGGAATCGCTACAGCTCTTCTAGGAAACAACTCGGGAAGGCGGGCGGAGAGCCTCATCTTTTGACCAATTCCTGGAATTTATTCAAAGATATAATTTTTTTGCTTGAATGATGACGCTGTTTATCAGAGAAAAAATGGAAATGACATGAGGGTGTTTTTGTTAATCCTCAGCGGAGGCTATTTCTTCCATTGATTTTTAGAGAAAGTAGAAGGAAGGGAGGGAGAGGGAAACATGGATGAGAGAGACACGTCGACTGGTGGCCTCCCACAGGCGCCCTGGCCAGGAATTGAACCTGTGACCTTTTGGTGCTCCAACCAACTAAGCCAAAGTGGACATGGCAAATCATAAAACATTATAGGGGAAAATAAAGAAACACAGGTAAAGAGAATTTTAGCAAATGATCATTAAATTTTCAAATTATTTTAATGTCTAGCCCTGGCCAGTGTGGCTCAGCTGTTAGAGCATTGGCCTGAGCATGAAAGGGTCTTGGGATTGATTCCCAGTCAAGGGCATGTACCTGGGCTTTGGGTTTGCTCCCTGCGCCTGGTCAGGGCACATGCAGGAGGCAACCAGTCAGTGTGTCTCTCACATCAATGTTTTTCTCTCTCTTCCCCTCCCTCCCAGTCCACTCGCACCATCTCCTAACTCTACCTTCTCCTCTCTTCTCAAATATCCAGCACTCCTTCCTCACCCTCACTCTCGGTTGATGAATTTACTTTCTATTGCTCTGGGCTGGGGGTGGGGGGATCAATAGAAGAAAACAGTGAAAAGTTCAGGATGTCCTCACCTGCCAGCCTCTAGACCCGTCTCCTGCTACTTCTACAGGTGAACTGCTGAACCTCTCAGGCCAGCTCCTACTTTGTACACAAGATCCCACCTCACAACCAAGCACCTCACCAATCTTCGAGCATCATCAATTTCTCCATTTCCGCTGGATTTTTCCCAGCAGAATACAACATGCTTTACATTCTCCCACGCGCAGAAATAATCCACTCTTGGTCTCACCCCCCTTCGGATACCGCCCATTTCTNGGAGACTCTAACAGGATGTTCACGTGATGGAATGCAACGGGTCACAAATTCCAGAACAGCGTGTGACGACGGGGGAAAGGCCTGCAATGCATTTTAAATGATAAAGCTGCTTATAAAACAGTTTTCAGAGGACGGGGCCACACGGCAACTCTAGGAGAGCACGTGTGGATGCACACAGACAGACACGCGTGCGCAGTCCACAGGGGCCCGCCCAGGGACACACCCGACCGTTAGCACCGATTCCCTGAGGTCTGCTGTTACCATAACCGTATTTCGTACTTGGCGATTTTCCACATTTTACACATTAAAAAAAATAATAATTTAGATTCTTGTCATTAAAATGAATATTATCTTTAAAAACGGCAAACGTTAGCCAATCTATCTGTCGGTGTTGTTTTTAACTAGACACTGGTGCGTGGATACACGGCGATAAATACAGATAAAGACACAGATGCTCATAGGTGTATACACTCAGAGGCACATACTAGTGCCTAGTTAGAAATTTCCATTTACAGCCCGGCCGGGCGGGGCTCAGCGGTTGAGCGTCGACCTAGGATCCAGGCGATCAGGGTTCGATTCCCGATCAGGGCACAGGCCCACGTTGCGGGCTCGATCCCCAGTCGGGGGCGCGCAGGAGGCGGCCGATCAATNGGCCCACATTGTGGGCTCGATCCCCAGTCGGGGGCGCGCAGGAGGCGGCCGATCAATGACTCATCACTGATGTTTCTCTCTCTCCCTCTCCTTTCCTCTCTCTGAAATCAATAAAGATATATCTAAAAAAAAATAAAAATTTCCATTTACATACCTATAATTTATTTCAAATGTATTACTCAAGAGTCAACCATGTATAAATATATATATATATATAAAATTTCCTGCAAGTAAGTTACTGATTACACTGCAAACCTATACGGAACTGTAACTTCCAGAGGCTCTCAGCCAAGGATTGCACAAAAGTGCTCCTATGGCGCCCCCCACGGGCCACTCACGGAATAAGTGCCTGTGCCACCGGCTTTCACAACCAGACGAAATTAAAAAGCAACAAAGACAAAAATAACAAAAGGTGCCCCTAAGAGATTCAAGTTAAACCCACCGAGGCCTCCTGGCGACTAAATGACAGAGTCCGGCCTTGAGCTTAAGCCGTTCACAGCCGCGTTTCCCACGAATGATGCAAGTCCGCAGGGCGTGGAAACAATCACACCAGGGTGCCCGTCTCCGGACAGAGCGCCGGGGACACAGCCCGGTGCCCACGCGGGGCGCGCGGGCTCATCTCAGCGGGGCCTCGGGTCTGAACCCAGGTTTGCAGGCGGCTTGACGCGAACAGTGTCAGGAGACGTGTTCTGTTTCTCCGGGTGCTGGCGTCCTAGGGACACCCTGATGCCACCTTCCTGCCTCGCGGACAGGGGCGGTCCGTGGGCACGACCGGCTTTATGAGGCTGGACGGGGTGAGCCCACCGCCCCACAGAAAGCCGGGGCCCTGGCCGGGTGGCCCAGTTGGTCTGGATACCCCAAGGTTGCGGGTTCGATCCTCAGTCAGGGCGCAGACAAGAATTAACCAGTGATGCATCAGTAAATGGAGCAGCAGATCCACCTGCCCCCCCCCAGGGCTGAGCCGGGCACCCGCGGTGGTGGGCGAGGTGCCCGCTGCTGCGTCCTGTTACCAACCATCACCGCCTCCGCCAACTCAGTGGATACAAGTGCTGTGAAACCACAGCTCACTCCAGTCACGTTAAGACTCAGGACACCTTCCAGTGGAACCGGCTCCGCCCGGCGAACGCGGTGTGACGGGAGGAAGCCTCGGTGCCCACGGTGCCCGCGCGTTCCCTGGGCGCCAAGAAGGAAACTCCCGCCCACAGGGGACCCGGCTCTCCCCGCTGCTCCTGGCGCTGCCCCCACAGGCCTCGCCCCCCACTGTCCCCCATTAGGACGCCCCCGAGCTGCGCCCCGCCCCCTGCCCCCCATTA